GGACACTGAAGACTTCACGTACGAAGAGACTCTGGAAAATTCGAAGCTTCGCTTCATGCGTCTAGGCGCGGCGTGGCGCCGCGCCGTCCGGAGGACTTGCCCCCTCTCCAAGGCTTGCCTCGTACGCCGCCACGCAGTCCGGAACGTCGGCAAGAAGGATCGCACGGGGCTCCCAGCTATCCGGCATGGGGCCAAGCCAGCGAACGAGATACTGGCGGTAACTGGGGACAGAGTCGTCGCGGTGACGACCACCGCGACTCCGACGGCCGGAACGAGGGGCAGCACGGGCATCATCGTGCTGGAGAATGGCCTCGACCACGTGGCGAATATTACCAGCACCATCGACGAGAGGAGCGGGGCCGTCCCGCTCAAACGGAGAATCGCGGACAGGACGCTGCGATCGCGCAGCGTCTGGATCGGATGGCGCGTCGTCTGGAAGTGCTGGAGCGCGAGAGTCAGGAGCGTCGCTCGGGGTAGTCGCAGGGTAGTAGCGCCGCAGCCGGCCAACGTAGAAGGTAGGGTGTAGTCGTAGCGCTGTCGGTAGCTGTAGTGTGTAAGCGTCACCCAAAACCTTTAATACGTTGAACGGCCCAATAAATCGTGGCGCGAGCTTGTTCGCGCCTAGGTTTGTCACCAGAGTAGGTTGGATGCCAGCCGTAGATAGTAACACACGGTCGCCGACGGCAAACTTCTCCATCTTCTTGCGACCGCGACGGTCGGCATTCTCCTTCTGTCGGTCAACAGCCAGTGCGATGGCGTCCCGAACATACCGTATAACTGACTGGCGCTGATCAAGGAACTTGTTGACCGCCGCAGTGTCACTCGACTGCGGCTCCGGGTTGGGGTCGAAGTTCGCTGGAGGTGACGCGGCGACATCAGCCGTGCCCGTTGGCTCGTGATACGCAATTGCACGACGACGCTGACTCGGGTTGATCAGTGTCCGACTGGTCCAAGTGGCCATATCTAAAGGTGTCGCCCGCGTGGCGACACGCGCACGCGACCCACGCGCAGTTGTCTCGGTTGGTCTCGCTGGTGTCACCCTCGTGGCGGCGCGTGTGCGCATTCCTCGTGTAGTGTCTCGGGCTCCAAGCCGTGTGGTGACTCCATTCACCAGCGTGGAGTCGGCGTCGTGAGCACTCTCACGACCGGTAGTACCAGCGACCTCGGTGCCGCTGGGATCAGCGCTGTTGGTCGAGTCGTCGTCGCCACTGGCTTCACCTAGGGCCATCGAGCGTTCCAACCCAAGGAGTGCAGGTACACGGGGGTGGCGACCGCAGTTGATATAGAATGGCGTAAGCCCCGTCGACGCGTGTTCCGCGTTGTTGATGGCGAACTCGACCATGGGTAGGAAGGAGCTCCATGACTTGAAAGACGTGGCGAAGCTC